ATATAAATAACCACAGACTTTTTGACCATATCACATGTATATTTATTGCTTCTACTTCATATGAATTTGGTATGATTAGGGGTACCTAAAGACCAACAGATATTTGTATTTATCTCATGATTAACAAGCTGTTGATGAATTATTTGGAAAGGTATACGTGCCACTGCCCCATTGGCCGAGTGGTCGCTAGTTTGACTTCTAGACACAGGGTCTCGGGTTGGCATCCCAGGTCGAGCAAAGTATTACTCAGTTTTTAAAAAATTATCAGTAGTCGCACGGATTCTGAAATTGTGCCTGGTATATGGCAATAGGCTCAAACATAAATAGTAAAAAATGAGTGTTACATTGTACAGTGGCATTAGGTGACATAATGTGCACCTTTGCCTACCTCTCCGGGGATAAAAGGCGTCATGTTTTGTATACGTGCTACCACTCAGACATATATTTAGTTTTTGGAATTAAAATTAAATGATCGAAGTAGGCATTTGTACGTCCTGTTTTACTCAATTGGGCTAGTTCCAATAGTTAAATTAACCAATCATATTTCGATAATTGTAGCAGTTCGTTATCCTTATACTAGTATTTTTGCACCTTCCTTATGTTCTTTCGACCAAATAGTACAACGCACTAACGAGTAACAACCCTTTGTTCTAACATTTGTGCGCACGACTGAACTTTCCCTAAAGTAACGCATTCTGTAATTGCACAACAACAGGGGATTTACTTTTACAATATCAATATTATGATGTTGTGGTTACATCTTTATCAATTACTAAGTGAGAAATATTAAAGAAAACGCGCTTTTTATAAAATCTATACATATAATAAAATTCTAGAAGTGTAAATTATGTATATTGAAAATGTTAAAAAATTAAAAGTAGTAGTAGACACTGAACCGCATCATGCAAAAACTACCGGTCCGATTTCGATGAAACTTGGTATGATTATACCTTAATATCCTGGGCACAGCACTGGGTACTTTTTATTCCGAAAAAGTATAATATACACGACTAATTGTGCGGCTCGATCCCAAGACACGATTACCGTACCAAACGCAAATATAAGTTTGTCGAAAGTTGGGTTACCCGCAGGCTGAAGATATCGGGATGAAATTTGAAACAGAGGTAGATAGTAGTCTGAAGAAACACATAGACTACTTTTTACCCCTGGGAACGCGGGCGAAGCCGCAGGCAGAAGCTAATACATAAATAAATAAGCAGTCATCCAGTTTTAAATTCAAAGTAACAATGTGAACTTTAATTTCATTGACTCTCTTGCATCCTCGGTTTGCCACCGGCCGGCGGCATGAAATGCTTATCAATCTTTCAAATTCTCTTCATTCTATTCTACATATTAAGTGGGTTACTGAACAGTTTGTCTTTAATTTATATCATTTATTAATACACCGTCTAAAGATTCTATTGTGGTTTGTTCTTGGGCCCAGATTTTAATAAAATCTATCAGAAAGCAAGAAAAAGGCTTCAAGTTTCCAAAAAAAAAACTACATTTGAGCATAATATGTAATTTCAGTAATCAAATCAATCAATGACATCATAAGAAATTACCAATCAGCGTCACTGATCTTTGTGATCTTTTATTTGGTAGTTGGTACCTGGGTGTTCGTCCAGTGAAGCCAAAATCTACCCAAATCAAGCCTTTGTCATATAATCAACGTAGTAGTCATATAACGAATATGATATTAAATTAATTAAATTGTTACGTAAAATACTGAGAATACACTCATAATCTATAAATAACGGCTAAAAAGTGCAATTAACTTGAAATAAATACATAAACCAAATGTCTATTGTGAGTTACATTCAACTGTAACTTTAAGGCTTGTGACACGTAAATGGCTATAATTAACCAGTCCAACGCGCATGGGCATGTAGTGAAATGACCTATTTTCTTTAGCCTACGTTTTGTAAAGAGAGCAGGGACAATACATTGCCGTTATACATAAACACTATTAAGAGAACAGAAGAAGCAAATTTCTTGAAATTAGGGACTATGAAAGCAGGAAAATATAGTAGCCGCTATTTAAAAAAAATAAGCTATTGTCGTCGCCGGTGTGCCAGCTATTTTGGAGCCAAAGGGCGTGGCCCGCGATGACGGTCAGAGACCTGACGGTATGCCCATTATGCCCTGGAAGCTGTGAAGGTCTTTGGTGTGGTACGCAACCTGCGTCGACACCCTTGCCTTCCATCTTCCAGTAACTGCGAATTGCGCTGGTTTGGCTGCTGCTTCTGCAGAAAACCTCAAGCGGCACAAGTATAACAACTTTGCTGGTTATATCTTTGAGCCGATTGGGGTTGAGACGTTAGGTTCATGGGGTCCGAGTGCCCATACATTATTCAAAAACATTTCTAAACTCCTGGTCGACGCATCTCATGACCGGAGGGCTGGTCTTTTTCTCGGTCAGAGGTTAAGCATTGCCATACAACGTTGCAATGCTGCCAGCCTTCTGGGTACTTTCCCTATTGACGTCGATTCTTTTTTTATTTTTTTAAGGGTAGTTGAGGTGGATGAGGCGGGATGTGTCAGACTCTTACTGACTAAAAACCACCCCGTTCCTACTCCTGCACTTCCCAGCCCCGGTAACCCATTAGGTTCTCCGCGACTCCATAACGGCATCAGCCCTATTGGGCACCATCCGTGGTGGTCTGATGGCTCTATCTAGAAAAACCGCCGTATTGTAATACACCGCATTGACGTCGACGCGGACGTATTTTTTTATACTCTGCGTAAATAGTTATTTTTAGTTTTCTTTTATTTATATTTTTGTATCGTAAGTTGTATGTATTCAGTAATTAATTAAATGCATCATTGAATAAAAAAACAACGTGATCATAAGAAACGTTAACTGTCAGGCTATCCTGTCGAAAAAAAAAACAATATTATCTATACTTATTAAATAACAGGCCCTGACTGCCTGACTGGTCCATCATCGCCGAGCGCATGTCAATGCTAAAAACATGAAATTCTGACTGTATAGATAGATTCATTTTGCCATTCATGTAAAATTCTATTCTTAAGCGGTCAAAATGAAGGTCTTATAAAAGTACGTTATTTTGAACATAAAATAAACGAAGTTCTGTATTTCGGTTATTGATATAAAATAAATAAATACGTGTTTCATAAATTTGGGAATATTTACTTAATAAGGCATGTAATACAGGTTAAATGTTTAAATTATTATTTAATCAAGTGTCACGCGAGCAAAGCCACCGGAAGCAGCTAGTTCACTATAAACTATTTCCAGTACCTATAAAGTAAACAAATATGAAATTGTATTTACAATTAAATGCGGTTTCCATATTGTGATTTTAGCATACCTTTGTGTTCTGTGTGCATTATTTATTGTTTGTTTGCATCAAAAATGACTATTGACATATCAATCTTCATTATCTGTAAAATTATACTGTAAATATCAAAAATTAATTGCATTGAGGACTTTGATTCGCAAATATTTAATAACCCAATAATTTGGTCAATTTTATCATGTTGTTTGAATTGCATGCTTGCTAAATTTATTCGCAACGTATGTTAATTAATTGAAAACTATATAGTTTTCGTCGTCTTTTAACGACATTAATTCATACAAGTCGCTCTTACTGTAATGTAAAATATAGGTATCTAAAAAATCTAAGCAACAGCAGCTTTTACGTAAATGCATACTTTACATCATTTATGACTCTGACAAAATAACTGTACTTATTATGTTACAGTTTAATATATTTAATGGAACTACACTCTTACAGTAACATTCTACCGACCCAAGCGACCTAAAGCTTGCATTATTTTAACACACCGAGATCCCTTTTAACACCTCTCCTTTTTCTGTGCATTTTTACTATAGTATACTATGGTTCTTGATTGTAAGACGTAACGTAATAAGTAACTGAAATGGTTTAAATTTTTGTTTAGATTGAAATTGTATGAGGTAATGTTGTTTCATTGTCGTTCGGGACAAAGCCTTGGTCATTATATTAGCTGTGGTACCGGTTCTGATGTTATCTGTTTATACTTGTCTCTTGGTCTGACTTCCGAATATCTCAGGAGTCAGAACTCCTATTCCCAAATATTCAGAAGAGCAAAGCAACGTTGACTTTCCTACACTGTACTAAAGTGTAGAAATTGTTTTGTTACTATCCTCTTTCCCGAGGCTCTACAGGCAATATAACGCAGGTGCAGGCCAGTTCACGGGAGCATGAAACGAACTATTCGATTCAGATAATTATTTCAAGTTGTTTTCCAAACAGTACCTATGCCAATTTAGGGCGTACTCGTTCGGTTCCATTTATAATTTATGAAAATGATAACAGTTGTTTTTCAATTACCTATCCGTTTTCTATTATTTTATCTTGTATACTTCTTTATAATATTTTTATTTAGCAACCTAATTATTCGAACCTAATTAATCCACGTTGTGAATTTGTGTATAAAAATAATTTTATAATGTTCAAAAACGTACATGTTTCTTTATTTATCCATTAATCTTATAGGCAGTGTGTCTATCTTGTGCCACCTACCCACTAATGTGGCTTCTTTTTATACTTACTTTACTGTTGAAACGTTCTATAAAACATTAGATACGCTGCCTAGTCAGTGTGAAGCAAAGGCTACAATGTGTCGCAACCAATATCGAAACAAAACGAAGTTATTTTAAAAACGCGCCTGAAAATTGTTCACCCCTACCGAAAGCCGCAGCTGCTTCGAGTGAGTGAGACAGCCACTACTTGCAAGAAAGAGAGATCCAATCCACGTACATGGTGATTACATGGAAAATACTACGCGTGGAAGTGAGACGAGACCAAAACATATTTTACTTTACTTAAAATAATATTTAAAAATAATAAGATAGGATAATTTGCACAATATACAACACAATGAAATATTTACCCTAGAGAAAACTGTTTATGCCCAATAAAAATACAAGTAAGTAAAGCAAATATTGTAAAACTTGATTTAACTACACACGTGTTTTTATTAAAACTTACCAACTGCAATTTTCTCAACTGTAAGAGGCTGTGCTGACAGTAACACTGCGTTTAACAACAACAAACCGGCATAACGCGTCGCGTAATAACTAAAAACCACCATTTTTGGAAACGACCTTTGCGTGATCTTATATTTTTTATTTACAAAATAACATAGTAACGTTTATGTTATTTAAACGAGTTTCGTTATTTAATAAGGAATTTAAGGCGATAAAGTGTCGGGATGCTGTGTGCAAACCTGAGACTTAGGGGCGACTGATGGCAAACGAGTGTGGCATGGGACGCGGGGGCTCCTCCCACTCCACCGAGCGCGCTCTCACTTACTCGCTTAACGAATATCCCGACAGCTATGTTGAATATTTGGAAAAGTCTGATAATTATAATATTTTCTAATCACAGTATTTACATCATTCAAGTCATGTTAAAAATGTCTTAGAAGAGCTACATATCAAAAGATTTCTAATAATACTTTGTTTGATTGATAAATTAAATAGAAAATCACGTATAATTTTCATTTAATTAAAAATAATGCCGAATTTTTTATCTATTTGGTTTCTTTGTTCTTAAACGTTAGAATATTTGCTTAATAGATGGTGCGCGCGTCGTTCTCCACAGAGATAAGGGTCGCCCCCTCCGCCACCTACCCTCTTCCTTGGAGCGTGATCTTCTCCCTTTCGCATTAGCCACAATTTCGACATTGCCATACTGCCACGCGTCGGTCATAGGTTTTTAAAAATATCGTAAATATAGTTACGTACGAGAATTATGGATGATGTGTATGTATAGTTGTAGAAAATAGGAAAACATATAACTTATGTATGGTTAAAAATAATGTGTAATATTTTTGGTTATCGAAATTTTATTGAATAATTTATAATAGAAGAGAGCAATTTAAAGCGTATGTAAGGCATAGTAAATGTACCGGTCGGTGACTGGTAACGCCATGGCAATGAAATAACATTTTTGGTATTCTAAGCAGATTCTGAATCTGTATCCAAGGGCTGCGTAGCTTAGTAACGAAATTTCCCTATAGGAAAACTAATTTCTTTCAGCTTTAAAGGCGAGTGAAGGTTTATTTATTCGAGATTTCTTCCTTGCGTATTCGTAAGTGACCTCCAGTATAAGTTAAAGGGATTGGTTTATTTAAACAGCAATTCTACTTACGGACCTTTCTAAGGAAAAAATAAAAAGGATGTTTTTTTAACTATATGATGAATATAGTGAATCATAATAAGCAAAATGACACTGGTAGATGGCTACCAGTTTCGTTTTACCAATATCTCAATTTTTATCTGGAAATTGAAATTCCTTTATTATTTAATTATAAGAAACTTAACATGCCATTTACAAACTGTACCTACAAAATTATTTTAGCCATATGATTTGGTCTGCATAAACCAAATACATATACGATACATACCATTGTATGAAACATATTTAAATAAGAATTTATGCCTATCATAATGTTACGTAGACATGCTATGAGCGTAGTTATACCATACGGCAACACGGTTGGCGGAGTGCTCGGGTGACCAGCAACGCGTCACGGGTTCGATCCCGAGTTGGCCAAAAAGTGATATTGGCATTTCCTGAGTAAAATGACCATTATTAGCCCGGAGTCAAGAAGTTCGGTTGTGTTTTACCCCAGTGCCTTGAAAAGCACGTAAAGCCGTTGATTCTGCGCCTGTCCTCTCTCCGGTCATGTCGGTAGTAGAGAGTATACCTGTGTTTGTGGACTATAATATCATCTGCGTAATGGGCTGGTCTGTTTAGGCTGGACACCATGATCGAAAAAGATCGGGATTTTACTATGACCGTAAAGCTGTTGCAACACTATAACTGAAATTACTAAAGTAAGCAGTCCCGTTCTAGGAATTTTATCCATTATCAGTACAAACGAATTGTACGAACAATTCATACAACTCGTTTAATGCAGTAAAATTTATATTTTTACCTATTATGTGTCTAAAGAATGGTTCAGTACAATCTTTCAGAACTTTTGCAGAGACTCAACATTCTTTGAATCATCATTTTTCTATTCCCACTTCTACGTATTTGAACAAAAACATGAAAAATAAATTGGCGAAAGCTCGTGGGAAAACTGGTATACTTTATTTTAGGAATACTTTTAAAACTTACGTACGTAATAACTTCATATTCCATACATTATTTTATAGGGGAGGCCTATGTCCAGCTATGGGCGGGCATCTTCCAGCTGATTATGACGATGAATATATACATAATTTGTAACATCATTGTGTTAGTAATTACCCAACACCAAGAATTATGTAAATGAGTCGTTCAATAAATATTTAAAATCCGTACAATAACATACCCCTAATATTTTGAATAATTGCTATTTGTTTTTTTTCAACCTACGAATACATCCCGAATGTTGATAATGTCATAGTATTGTACCTAAAACCATTAGCATAAGAAAATATAAATAAAACTTCCCTTAAAATAACTTTTAGGCAACGACTAGGAAGTTTAATATCCTTAAGCAGTTGACGACCCGAGTCCCTTTAAACCTTGAAAGCTCAAAGGGGAAATAAAAAGATATTTCCATTGCAAATTTGAGCAAGTTTGATTTTGATCACTACTCCGGGAGAAAGCCGGCAAGAAACAAGGTCGGGGAAAATCCTAATCTTAGACTTTTGAAAACATTTCCTTGTTTAAATTGAACAAATACCATCGTTTTCAGCATTGTAGGTAAACGTGAGACTCCAATTGCACGATAAGGGTTCGAAGGATCAAATGAAGATCTTTATCTCGTTTGTAATACGTAAATGATAATTTTTGAATACCTTGAAATGTAAATATATCGAATAAAATTCTTCGCTGTCACTTGAGGACAAATAGAAACTAGTAAACTGTACATTAATCTTAATCGATACATGTAATAAAAAGTGCAAATTCTGCGCATTGAAAATATTAAAAACTAATTAGTAGGGGTGTTACTAGGTAGACACCGAACCCAATTGTGTAATTTAAAAAATGTTTGTCTGTCGATCTGTACATGCATCACGCAACAACTACAGGTTCGATTACGATTTATTTTTATATATTTTATATTAATTATTACGATTATATTTTTATATCCTGGGCACAATACTGGGTACTTTTTATCCCGTGAAAGTATATGCTCAAAAAAGCAAACTTAATTATGTGACTCAATCCCTAGACACAGTTACTGTATCAAACGCAATTATAAGTTTGTCGTGTGTTCAGTGGCGTTTACGCTGTAACTGATAGGTGGAATTAACTTGAACCGATATTATAAATGTGAAAATAATGTGAGTTTGTGTGTATGATAAACTCATCAAAACGGCTGAACGGACTGGGATGAAATTTGAAATAGATGTAGATCACGGTTTGGTGTAACACATACGCTACTTTCTACCCCTGGGAATACGGGCAAAGCCGCTAGTAGACGGTACTTAAAAATAAATTGACTTTATTCTGCCTGCTCTAAAGCTGGTTTACTTGATTTTGGCCAGTATACAATTGTCAACCTTTTCTCTTTATAGTATCATAATCATCTCTTCTTTCAAAATTTAAGTGTTAATTAAACACTTAAATAGAGAGCCGAAAATTTTACATCTTTTATTTTCTACATCTGCCTTAACATTCTACTTCAACACATTTAATATACAAGAAAATCTCCGCTTGAACCCCACAACCCAAAGGTGGCAATTAAAAATGGTTGGAATGTAATTTGCCAACTAATTTTTTTACCACAAGAGTTACAAATTTTGTCTGGCCCATATGTGACAAATAACTACCTCTTTTGGATAGGGCACAACCATTGGCCCCGTACAAGATATCAACGACTCGAGCATATTGCCGAATAGTATAACATCGGTAAAACCAATAAGTAAATTCCTTCAATAGAGCCACTCCGGCGCCTGATTTTACGGCGTTTGAACTCGTCAGACTTTGTAGGTGTTGCGGCGTCTAACCGCTAAGGGTTCCGGAAGAACCGCTACGGAAGGAAAATAATTGTTGCTGCACTTTTAATAATTACTTTTGCTCCTATTTTGAATTAGCTAAGTAAATCAGATATACTATATTGGCAGGTGCGTATCGATATAGGACCATAATTGCAAGCCGATATGCAAAATTCAGTATAATGTGAAAAAATGTGAGTCTACGTGTTTAAGTATTAGTGTGTAAGTTTGTTATTAAATCTCGTCAAGAGAGCAAAAGGGATCGGGACAGAACTGTGGTAGATTATAATACAAGGCTACTTTTTAAATACGGGCGAAACCACGGGTGGCATCTTTAAATAATGAAATAATAACTAGTTTTTGCTTAAATTCAATGATACCAAAATTAATTAAAAGTCTTATACGTGTTTAACTATCTATAACAAGTAGAGTATTGAAGAATTACAAATCTTATATTACAGAAATTATTGAGTTATTTTAATAACGCAAACTAATCGAAACTCTAGACATAGCTGGAGAGCAAATTTAAACGAGCAAGTTATGTACTTACCTACATAACTTTGTTACAAAATGTTATACAATTCTGAGTTATTAGCCTATGTGCCCGACTTTTCGCAGAATATCTAGTGTTTAAAAATGTTATAGTATAACAAAGTAATTGACAATTGGTATCAAAGTTATTTTATTATATTCTTTTGTATTTCATATTGTTGTGCGCATCGAAATCATTGAATGTTGTATGTACCTCTATACACTACACACAATACACATTTGTTTTATAAATAATATTGGATTCACTCTGTTTAAATAGAGTCGCGTATCAAATCCAATACTGTGTTGGATTAACACATATCCTAACTAGTACACATAGCTAACTATACCAATCATGAACGGGTATCGCTTCCAGATTAATTAATTTCCCAATAAGTACTTCATGCCCGGCAATACGGAGCTAAATCTGTTGCCACGAAGCTAGTGTCCTATGCCTATGTGAATGTTGTTAACTAATTATACATGTACGTGCTGTTCGGGGGTTTTTTTATTTTAGTATGATACCGTATGCTTATTAATTTCATAGTCAAGATTAAATATAATGACTAACATCATACAATAAACCCACTCAGATGACGTCAAGCTGATTAAAAAAAAGGAATTTAAATCAATTTACCTAGAATTTTTTAACTGGCCTAAAAAAAATTAAGCTTAAGACTTGGATGCGTGCGCATCCAAGTCAAACTAGCCTTAATTTTTTTCATGTATTTATGCATGTATGTATGTACGTTTATTCGCAAT